CACTTTGGTGAGATATTTAGACATACGGGTCTACTTGTTTCGTCATGTGATGTGTATTATACTGATACTGCAAACAAACTATATATATATATATACTATACATATATACATATGTACATATATATATATACATACATATGTACTGAATATTGTACACATATGGAAATGTATGTAGAAAAGTTACTGACCATGGGATGACTCTCACCACTGGTGTTGACAGTTTCAATCTCAGGGTTGATGCACGGCTCTCTCGATCGCTTTGGAGGGAAAGTGGGTGAACCCCCCCCACGCTGTACTTTAGGATTGATTCCCCATAGACTCGTCCTTTTGAATCTGGCTGCGTGTGCGACCCTCGGAAAGACGAAAAACCGGGGGCCTCCATTCCTGGTGAAGGTGTAATGAACTGGCCAAGCATTCCATCAAGTACTACGGGATTTTTCTGGATAGCTACCATTCCGCAGGGACCTGAGGCAGACCTGGACAGTGCAGTGGGCTGGTGTATATGATACAGATTTAATGGCGATTCAATGGGCTTTTTGCTCGGATAGAATGGGAAACAATTACATAATTCAGTGATATACTGGTTTTATTTTCCCATATATTGGGAATAGTAACCCCAACTGACTAATATTTTTCAGAGGGGTTCATTTATATAACCACAGCAGTCCGGCACCTGTACCTGAAGAAGCTCCAACTCGGAGACTCGCAGAAGTGACCATATAGGAGAGATTGGTTGTTGTGAATCACGGATGGCCGAGCGAATCCACTGATGGACCGACAGGTGGTTGGAGTTCTGCTTTTTGGAGTGGTTGCAATGGTTGCAGTGGTCACCTTCCCACAACTGCTGGATGTAGTGTGGTGTAATGTCAACCCCGGATTAATAAACCATGGTTTATTAATTAGGGGGGTACTCCTCCAATAGTCATAATATGATACTTAAATGGCACCCTCCCAATAACAATCTAGGGGTTTATTAATCCAGGGTTGACATTAGTGCAGTTGTAGTTGTAGTTGCAGTTGTAGCTGTAGTTGTAGCGTAGTGTAGTGCAATGTTGTAGTGGAGCTGTAGCTGTAATGTAGTGTAATTAGCGCATTTGCAAGCGCAGCTGCAGTTGTATTCGCGCCGTGGTGTAATTAGTGTAGTGTACCGCAGCGTAATGCCGTGTAGTGTAGTGTAGTGTAGTGTGGTGTAGTGTAGTGTAGTCTAGTGTAAGGTAGCGTAGTTGTAGTTGTAGTGTAGTGGAGTGTAAGTAGTGTAGTGTAGTGTAGTGAAGTTGTAGTTGTAGTGTAGTGCAGTGAAATTAGTGTAGTGTAGTGTTGTGTTGTGTAGTGTAGTGCAGTGTAATTAGTGTAGTGTAGTATGGGTAGTGTAGCGTAGTGTAATGTAGTGTAGTGTAGTGTAGTGAGGTGTGGTGTAGTGTAGTATGTGTAGGGCAGTGTAGTGTAATGTACTGGTAGTTGTAGTTGCAGTTGCAGCTGCAGTTGTAGTTGTAGTGTAATGCAATGTAATCAGTGTAGTGTAGTGTCGTGTAATGTAGTGTGGTTGTAGTTGTATTTGTAGTTGTAATGTGCTGCAGTGTAATTAGTGTAGTGTAGTTGTAATTGTAGTTGTAGCTGTGGTAGTGGTAGTGGTAGTGGTACTGGTGGTAGTGGTGGTAGTGGTAGTAGTGGTAGTAGTAGTAGTAGCAGCAGCAGCAGCAGTAGCAGTAGCAATAGCAGTAGCAGGAGGAGGAGTAGTAGTAGTTGTTGTTGTTGTAGTTGTTGTTGTTGTTGTTGTTGTTGTTGTTAGTGTAATTGGTGTGGTGTAGTGTAATTAGTGTAGTGTAATGTAGCGTAGTATATTTGTATTTGTAGCTGTAGCAGTAGCGAAGTGTAGTGTAGTGGTAGTTGTAGCTGTTGTAGTTGTAATTGTCTGTCTATCTATCTATCTATCCATCTATCTATCTATCGATCTATCTATCTATCTGTCTGTCTATCTATCTATCTATCTATCTGTTTATCTGTCTATCTGTAAGCTTGAAAACGCGGCAATTCTACGAGACTTCCTCAATTTTTGAACTTGACAACATCAAAAACGAAACAATTCTGCGAGACTTCCTCAATTTTTGAACTTGACAACATCAAAAACAAAACAATTCTGACTTCCTCAATCTTCCTCAATTTTCGGAGCTGACAACATCAAAAATGAAGCTATGCGAGACTTCCTTCAGAAATGGAAAGTGGAGTGCAGAGCTGACGGCCTCGTACCAATGCGTTGTCTAAAGTACTGGGCCTGCCACGACAAATGGATGCCAGGTCATACGAAGTGCTGCACCTGTCACGCAAAATCATCTTAGCAAACCTACAGATCTGATACTCCAAAATGCAACCCCTCTCAGGAAATCAGCACCCTCACCTCCTAGCCTCCTAGCATCTCTCCTGTACTGCGCCTGCCACAGAAATGCATCTTTTCAGATCCTCTTCAAATGTCCCACGCCTGCCATGGTTTTTGGAAATGCGACAAAACCCTCACGTTTTGCTCACTTTTGACAAGGTGCGCAATCCCTTGCGCCTGCCACGCGAAACGACATCTGAACCTCCAAAAGTGGCGCGAACATGTGGTGTTTTGTACATTTTGACTTCGAAATGTGCTTCGCGCCACAATGGCGTGCACTTTTTCGACATCTCAACTTCCAAAAGTGGTCCGACGCTGGTGTGTTTTGTACATTTTGACTTCGACATGTGCTTCGCGCCACAACGGCGTGCACTTTTTCATCTCTCATCTGGCCAGATGGCTCCGCACCCGCTTCTTTAGCGAGCCTACTTTTTGACCCTCCGGAGCCACAAACCATTGGAAAAACACAGTGTTTCGCGACTTTCCTACCTTTTCGCGCATCTGCGTCTTCTTTCTTCTGACTCTTTCTCTTCTCTGATCTGCTCTCTTCTACTCTTCTCTTCTCTCTGCCTCTGCCCAGCTCTGCTTTTCATCTGTCCATATTGTCGGAAGTTTGACTTCTAAACTTCCTTCGGCGATATATATACATATATATATATACATATATATATATATGTATATATATATATATATGTATATATATATAAGGATTGTTAAGCACTGCTACTGTACGCAGACGGGAAGACGGAGAAGCATTCACGCCAAGGACAGCAAGAGCGCGGATCAGGTGGAACGGGATCACGCCAGTGCGTCCGGGGAGCCAAGTCCTGGGATCCACTGATGATTCCCCAACCACTGGCACCACTTCGTAAATGGGTTATATCCCCAGTTATACATAGGATTATAGGGGTTATATATGAAGTAGGCATCAAAAATGAGGGTGTAAGTGCCAATTTTTGAATACCAGCTAGTTGAACAGCAACGTACTGTACCAGCGTTACATGATCCGCAACCATTTCCTGGAAGGAAGAAAGTCTCCTGACCGAATCCTCATGCTGTGTTGGATGAGTTGTACCCACACATACATACATACATACATACATACATACATACATACATACATACATACATACATACAGACATACAGACATACAGAGCTCTTGTTTTGGTTGGTTTCGGAGCAGTAGGAACTTGGACATGTCCCAAACAGATTAGTAACAAAATCTATTGCATCATGAAAGACATACCGTCCCTGAGGGACAATCATTGTCCACGTGCGCCTTCTAAAATTTTTGACCACCACCTGAATCTGAATCTGCAAAGGTACTATTCATGGTACAGATCTAGATTCAGACTATTTTCCTCATGTTGACCATGGGGTGTTGATTCTATATCCCACTATATCTAATCATATCCAATTCTCTCCTTGTACAACCCATTATATTCGATTATATTCATTTATTCATTTAGATCCCATGACATCCGAATACAAGACCCCAAAAAACCCTGGTGACAGCCCTATGACAAGCCGACGGAGCTGAGGTATCTCCAAGCCAAGCTGAACCGAGCCCGCTTGCGCACCAAAATGATGGGCCTGAGGGCTCAGTGTAGCTGGTGGCGTTTGGAGGGAGCTGTTTGGAGCTGTTTGGAGCGGCATCCAATGGAGCTTCGTTTTCTAAAAGTTGACCAACCGCATGATCGTTTTGCGGGTTCGTTGATGTTCTGGAGAAGCACTCCAGATCCGGATTTCACGAGAAAGATGGAACTGGGGGATATTGATGGCATTTGATACACATGAACTGTTAAATGTACTTCGATTTGTTCTGAAATGGAGGGACACACCTAATTTTATGACGTTACGTGAACATAGAAATGCGGAAAATCATGATGAACGTATGAAGCGTGGACGTTGGGGTTCCCAATGTTTGACGCAAATGTAGGGCCACCTGTTTGACGCCAGGTATCTCTGTGGATCAACAGATTGAAGGGCTCGGGGACCCAGGGTCAATGATAGCTGCTTGATCCACTTCTGAATGGAAACAAATGAAGCAACAACATCAATATTGATCAATATTATTGTTTTGTTTCATAAGATGTGGTGTTTTTAAAATGTGATCCCATGCCGGGGTTGAGAAGTCTTGTTGGTAACCTTGATGTCCATTGATCCCATGGGAACCCAACATCGCTGCCAGGAACAAGTTGGCCCTGGACGAATATGAAGAGATCCTGGAGTATGGCCAGAGAAATCCTGAGGCCATGGAAGGGTCCAACATCACCAAATTGCTGTGGATTTTTGGTGGGCTCACCGTAAAGGGCGTGAAACGCTCACCAGGTGGTCGAAGCTGATGTGAACATGAGTACAGAGATGCGACTCTGTGCCGAGATGGTTTGGGTGGCCCAGCTTGGAATAATTTGGGCCGAAATCCCGGAGATGAAGCAAAATGGGTCACAAACCTTGACTGGTTTCAAGGGAGGTTTTTTGTATGACACCCCCCCAAAAAAGAAAGAACAGTCACTTACCATTCTTTTAGTAGTATTGTATTATATTGTATTTATCTATCTATCCTTTTTGGGAGTTACCGTAGTTGTTCAGCCAATCAACCAGTACCTTTGGCAGCTGACATAAAAAGTCCGATGGCTTCCCAGCGGCAAGTTCCACTTCTGGTGGATCTTCCAACCGTCCATGCCGTGTTGAGGCGGCGTTGCTGCCGAGCAAACTGGCACGCCTAGCAAGGCGGACCTCGAGCTAGCTGGAAAAAGATGTCAGCTGCAGGAGGGATTTGATCATTTGATCCGGGATTTCTGGTGATTTAGCTATCATTTGATATGGCTATCCGACTATCCGTCAAGCACAGTGATGAACAACTGTCAAGGGGGATGAAAAACTGGATGATATCACGAGGGATACTCGCACATGGCAATGCAAAAACCACTGTTCGCATCCATTCATGGATGTTTTTCTTTACATCAAGAGTAAGGATGTCCCATTGCCATGTTTGCCTCGTGGGACAAAAACACAGCACATGTTTGCCAATTTGGAATCACATTTTGCTGATTACATTGCGTATAAATGCATATAAATCCATATGTATTTGCCTTACGTATTTGCAAATCTCTGCCGCGCTCCGTCGAAGCAACGAAAAGGACACTACACCGAGGAGCTCCAACTTGACCTCACCGCGCCTTTCAAACGTTTCGGCCGCAAACCTCCCAACATATCCCAACTACTCCAGCGTACACGAGCTTTGATCCAAAGCTGGCTTGGAAAGCTGGAAAGCTGGAAAGCTGGAAAGCCGTGTAGGAATGCTTGGGGATTTGAAAAGTCCTTGATAGCCATGACACTAGCAGCACACAGCAGCAGCAGCATTTATGTCAGCCAGAGCAATCATGCCATGCCACCGGCAGGGCAGCAGGCTCCGACGTGGAAGCCGTGAACGATTTCCCTCAAATGGCTTGATCCAAGAATGGGTTGTACCCGTTGTACCCCAAATCCTCTGATCAATCTGTCAGGTGGAGCGTTGGAATCGTCTATGGAGGGCGCAAAAGGCGTGCCGCTGCAGAAGTTGTTGATGTAAGGAGAAGTGCGGAGCATCTCACCACAGCATGCGCAACAAACTGAGTTCAAATTGCTTGGGAATGCCCCTGAAGTAGCTTGACACATAGGTTGCACTATATGCATCAAATAAACATCTGAGTCGAAGGGAACCAGGCATTCAACGCTCCGACTCAGAACGCAACAAGACGAGGAGAGTCCTTTGGGATCCAGCCGTGATTTTGTCGAAGATGCGCCAGAGCAACAGAGGCACCACCATCAAACGATATCAAACGCAAAACAACAGCAATGTACCAGCAACATGATTATAGTCAGGATCATCATTAGCATCATGAGCATCATGAAGGTGACAACAACAGCAGGACCGTCAGCACCACCACTCCGATAGACAACACAATTGCGATCGAAGAGCAAGAAAGAGAAAGAGACAAGGAAAAGATGAAGAAGAACGAGAAGGAGAAGAAGACGAAACAGGAGAACAAATGATAGCAGGAAGAGGCGGAAAGCAGACAAGAAACCCAAAGAGGAAGATCTATATTTGAGAGGAGATCTCCATGTCGAAGCTTGCACCTTTCGCGTCCTTTCGCACGAACTTGCACCTTCGTTCGTAGTACCGTCCTAGGCGCGAACATCGAATTGACGAACGAACGCCCGGACCTTGCATGACCCACTGGCGGTAGATAGTCTGTGGTCCACTGCTTTGTCGTCTTGCAACATGTCAATATGTGCCAAGCTTTGTCGTTGGGGTTTGGTGACACTATATATCTGCCCAAAGAAGCATCCCCACATGAGCCCCCGCAGTTACATCCTCCATTACCTGCTGGTTTTTTGTTGGCACGACCAGCAGCGATCGTTTTCCATGTTCCGAAACAGCCGCCCAGTTCCGGAACATGGGAGAAGCACGATGAACTTTTGACAGAAGCCGCCACCCCAGCAGCAACCAATGAAGGTCAAACAGTGGTCGAGTGTGGGTGGCAGCGAAATGCACTGGTTCTTCATTTTGGCTTGACACAGTCTCCCAAATGGACCATTGTTGGCGTACCTAAAGCTTGACCCCAGCGGCAAAACGCTAAGGGTGCGAAAAAGGAGTCCGCCAATTTGTAGACATGTATTGCAGTGTACTGGTGTGCCGAAGGCACTCATGCCGTGTAACGCGCGTGGACGAACAAAGGGCTGCTCTAATCAATTTGGCATCAGTATGCTCTGCAACAAAAAATATTCTGTTGATTCTATTGTTCATGGGTCGAGGAAGAACAAGGTACTTCCGACACCCCCTTTTGAAACATCGGTGTTCCGGCGCAACACATGCCTGAATCTATACCAATATAGAATTACACCAAATCCAACTGCCTCATCAAAACTGCAACTTGGATGACCTGGCAGTACTCCACATCCTTGTGTACAAAGCGAAATCGCATTTGTTTGAAGGCAAATCTCCCCATGGGCAAACAGGTTTGGCACACATTGGTGGCGAAAACGTCAGCCGGATTCTCCTATTGGAGAGAGTTTTATGGGGGTTGAGCGAACAGTATCCGACACGAAGCGATGCCATTTATGAATATGGACATAATTTGATGATATATTACTATTATTACTATTATTAGTGTTTTATTATTATTATCATCATTATTATTATTGTTTATTATTGTTATTGTTATTATGATTATTTTATTATTATTATTATCATCATTATTATTATTGTTATTATTGTTATTATTGTTATTATTATTATTACTATTATTTATTACTATTGTTGTTGTTGTTATTATTATGATTATTATTACTATAATTATAAATAATGTATATGCTACAATGCTACGAAGCGACGATGTTTTGCGCTGCTTTGGCTCTTGCTCTTACGTTCCAGCCTCTGCCGTGGCCAAACGTTTTACGCGAGACAATTGCCTGTCCAGCCGTTGGCTCTGGTTGGTTCAGCTGTCCGTTACATCGCCACCGGAGTACCACGCCACGGCCGCGTCACAAGGATATCATTCGCGATTCGTTGATGCCAGTTGAAACCACTTTGTTTTCAAAAGAGGGCACAAGCCAGAAGCCTTGGAGGAGTATGCGTGCAATTTCACCAATTCAGCTGGTCTAGACAAATTTCACTATTCGAACTCCTGGGTGTGTGTCCCTTTCTGTTGGAAAGAACAGTCACCGGGGTGTCCCATTTTTTTTTTTTTTATGTATTTGTTTTTTTGGTCAGTTTCCGGATGTCAAAGGACAATTCCCCATATTCAGCCAGTAAATTGATGCATTTTGCGTTCTCAGTGGGGATTGAAACTAAGAATCTGCTATGCAGGTAGTACGGTCCCTCCAAAAAAATGTACATTCCAACAGTCTGTTGTGTTCACGCTGGCTACGCACCTTGCTCCTTAAAAGCCGTGGCAGTCGGCTTTTTGACCTGGAGCGTTTCACAACGCCTCATGCTTCATTTCAGGAAGGAAACAAGACTTCAGGGAATCGCACCTTCAGCAAAATAAATAAACACTATAACAGTTCGCGGGCGTTATTGTGCTTCCCTCCGGCTACCCCCACCCTCACCCCTTCAAATTGTTTTGGCGCAATAAAAACATGGACGAAGCAGCATCTTCAGAGAGACAATCATAGACGAAACAAGTGTTCACGAAAGTTATCACATCCACCCCGCTCCCGTCAGTGTAGCAACCGTGTATCTTCCGTTAACTGCAGGAAAACAATCACAGACGAAGCAACAACGATTGAAGAGTATCACATCCGCTCCAGCCTTCCTTCAACGTGGCAACCGTAGATCCTGACCAAAGGATCGCACACGAAGCAGTTCACGAACGTCATTTAATTTTACCTCATCCGCCATCGCCTGCCTACCCCAACCCATTTCCAACAACATTTTCTTTTTCCCCACCTGCCAGGTGAGGGTCTCTGGATTTTATCACAGTTACTTCCTCCTTCCTCTTTCCAACAGCCTTCTTCCCCTAACAGCGAACTCCAGATCGCGGTGGCACTGCCGGACCTTAATTGCGAGCTCCAGATCCTGATGTCAGTGAGCACTGCCGGACCTGAACCCCAAACTCCAGATCTTAGTGGGCCTGAACCGCGAAGGCTAGATTTTAGTAGGCACTGGGCGCTGCCCATAGAGCATTTTGAACGCAAGAAACATTGATGGAATGAAAATTATGGAGAATGGCAAGATACTTTGCTTTCAGCTTGCGCATGCGCGTCCGCAGGCAGCCCATTTAAGGCGCAGGCGGGGTGAAAAACAAAGGTAACACGGGGGCCCGAGGCCCCTTACAAAATCAACATTTTCAGCAGCAGTGTGCTATGGATTTTTCATGATTTTTCAACCCTCGCAGTGTTTTGTGAACATCGTTACTTTGAAAATAGCAACGACATGTCATGAGGACGGGCGGCAAAACACACCTTCAATGATATTTGCAGGAGATTCTGCGCCCCATCATTTTCAAAACCCTATTTGGCATATTTTTTTGAGAAAGAATGTTTTTATCCTCAATTTTCAGTTCCGTGGCCAACAGCTGGTGGTTTGCTTGGCTGAACAACTGTGGGCTGGGCAGGCCATTGGTGCGTGCCTTTACACGGCCACAAATGAAACCTTTGCACTATGACCACAGCTTATCAACAACTATGTCGCTTCATGTACATGAACCATAAACAAACATACCGACTCACGTACCACCACAAGTGCACAACGCATCAACGCCCTTGTCGCTTCATGTGCATGAACCACAAGCAAACATATCAAGTCATGTGCCATCACAAATGAACCAAAAGCAAACATATCAACTCACCTACCACCGCGAGTGCACAGCGTAGCAACACTTATGTGGTTTCAACTACCTGAATCACAAGCAAACATATCAACTCGCGTGCCACCACACGTGCACAGCGTATCAACACTTATGCCACTTCAATGAGGATGAACCATAAACAAACATGCCAACTCATGTACCACCACAAGTGCACAGCGCATCAACACTTATGCCTTTTCAATGCAGATGAACCAAAAACAAACATATCAATTCACGTATCACCGCACGTGCACAGCGTATCAACACCTATATCGTGCCACCACAAGT